CTGTCCTAGTGATTACACCCTGAAATTGTATTTTAGATACTTGAGTAAAAGAAAATGTCAGTAAAGTTAATTTTACCTCCTGTACTTTTTAGTGTGGCTGTTAGAGAATTCAGGCTCTCAGCAGCGGCATACGTTTTGCATCTGTTGGTCAGTCTGGGTCTGCCTGGAGCCTCTTGACTCACCCTCCTACCTGCCAGGATGGATTTCCACACCTGCTAAGGCTCAAGGGATGTGCTGCCTGACGTGTTCTGTGTGTATAAAGCAACTTCTTACAAGTGACCTGCCTGAACTGTCCACATGACCCTTAGCCAGAGCCACCCTATCCCTGCCAACCAGTTTTGTCACCTGGAAAAAGGGGCTGAACTCCTCAATCTCTAACTGTCCTTCTTTCTTGGACATCTGGTGACTTATTAACAGACTCTGATTTTTCTCCTGTTTTAATGTGAAAAGTCTGGGAAGTGGCCCCACCCTTCTCTGCCATCATTGTCACAGCCACCATGTAAGGAAGTGGAGACTGCACACACACCCCCACCACCAGCCTTGAATCAAAGTGGTTCTGAGAACCAGACAAATTCATGACTCAGTTGGTCTTCTGGCTCCTCGCACTCCAGTCCCATGCAAGCAGCACGCATGCGGGAGGTTGGGGCCGGGGTAGGCCCTGGACCCACTCTGTGTGTTCCACAAGCAGGCGGTGGTGGTTCCTTTAGCAAATCCTTGCTGGGCGCCAGGCGTGTACTGCATGCCAGGCTCTGTGGCCCCTGGACAGACCTGCCACCCTCTCGCCCTTGAGGTGCTAGTAGTGCAGTGGTGCAGCCCCTTGGCCACAGGGGGAGGAAGGGGGCTCAGGGCGTTCCAGACCAGGAACTGCCTCTCCTTCACGACGGGGTGATCTTTACTGCAGAAGGGTCCCATTAGCCCCAACTCCCCTCCCCCACCCCGGGGGGCTGCCGGCAGCCTCGTCCCAACACACAGTATAGCTCTGGGAGGAAGAAAACACTGATGTAATGAACTCCCTTATTGGGCAGGAATGGCCATTTCCCGGCTGGTGTGAGTTCTGGCCACTTTCTTCTTGGTAGATTTTTTTTATTTAAAGATTGCTGTGAGATTGCCCCAGTTCTAGTGCCTGAGACATGGTCATGAAAAAGAGAAGGAAAGAAAAGAGGAAGGGAGGGAGGGAGGGAGGAAGGGAGGAGGAAGGAAGGAGTCGAGGTTAAAGTGACTCAAGGTCACTTTAATGTGCTGTCCTGCTCTCCCTCCACCCTGTGTGGAAGCTGTGTGGGCCCAGGTCCTTGTCCTGCCATCTGTTGCCAGCTTCCCTGTACGAGGACCCTGCGCAAAGATTCCCACGTTTCTGAATGGGGTCCTGCCTTGATGTCATAGGTCCCAGTGGGTCCTGGACACCCCCTACCTGATGGGGCAAGGCTGGGCCTGAGGCTCAAACACAGAAACCTTTGACCCTTGTCACCATTCATGTCCCGTCTCCTCGTGGATGCACAGACACTCCCTCCCTTAACGACGGCAGGGGGATGCCTTTAGCATCTCTTATTCGGTGTCCAATGCTCTTCCTGGCCCACAGGGCCTCTTGGATCAGACCGTTCCCCCCGCCAGGGCCTCCGTCTCCCTTGTGGTCTGAAGCTGAGATAATTCCTTAATCCCGGAAATGCAATTTATATCTTCATCTGTTGAAGGCGCCAGCGGCGTCGCAGCGCTGCTCTGGCCTGTCCTGTGGGGTACCGGTCTTCTCATACTGGGGGAGTCTGGGCCCCTGGAGGCTGCAGTTTCATTTCTGAGCCGGTGTAATGTGTCCTGATTGCATAGAGCATCCCCCTCAGCAACGAACGCTCAGCAACGAGTATCTGAATGAACAGCTGTAAACCGAATGAAGGAACCCGGGGGGCCCAGCGCCCAGCCTTGGAGACAGGCTGGCCCTGGCGAGGCGGACCAGACGAGGGTGCTCTGTGCCAGGCTGCCGCACGGGGGGCGGGCGTAGGGAGGGGAGCGCAGGGGAGCCAGTGGCGGGGAGCCCGACCGAGGGAAGACCCTGGGCTCAGGCGGGCGGGCGTGAGCGGAGCAAACCCCAGGACCCACACCCCGGGGGACCCACAGGGGCCGGGGCTCCTCGCCCCCATCTTGGCCAGACACCTTGACTTCCGACCAGGCCTCTGAGCTACCTGTGATGCAGCTGTGAGTGTCCCCCTCACTTCCCCCTTCCCCGAGGATCCGGCCCGCACCTGCTGTCCAGCTCTGGGCGTTAGAGCAGTGAGACGGCAAAGCTGCGTCTTTATAAAGCCTGCTTGCCAGCGGGGACAACAGATCTGCACACTCGGGCGAGGAGTGCTGCAGGCAAGGCGGCGGGAAAGCAAATGGGTGCCCGGGCGGGGTGGGGGGGCTGTCCTGGAGAGGCCTCCCCACCACGGGACACTTGAGCAGAGCCCGCCAGGAAGGCCTCAGCCACGCGGGGACAGCGGCAGCAGCAGGAGCCCACGGGGCGGCGGTGCAGGGCCAGGCCAGCCCCTGGCCGCACCCCACAGCTCCACTGCAGACACTCAGGGAGCACACAGGCGACAGGAGCACTGGGGCCCTGTGTCACATGAGGACAGTGAGCTCAGAGAGGTGAAGGCGCAGACTCAAGGCCACACAGCTGCTAGTCAGCAGGTCTGGGCGTCAGACTCCCGCCTGTGGGCCTTCGTGCTCAGCCCGACCAGCCCCGCCTGCCACCCCGGCACCCTCAGCCCGGCCAGCCCTGCCTGCCACCCCGGCCCCCTGTGCATGCACAGCCTCGGTCCAGCGCCCCCTCCCTCGAGGCGGGGCAGGGGTGTCAGCGCAGCCCGCGGGCCCCTTCTCCGTGGCTCCTCTCCAACCGGCCTCCTGCTCCAGCCCAGCCTGACGGTCTCTGGACACCCAGTTAAATGCCTAATTGGAGCCAATGGTTTGGAGCCCCCCGGCTCCCCTGACGCCCCCGCCCTGCCCTTCACAGCCCGCTCGGCCTTCCAGTTGCTCTCTCGCGCCTTCCCTGCAGTCTCTCCCCTTCTCCGAGGTTGGGGGCTTCTCTGCCTTGGCCACATCTGCTGGGGCATCCATCTCCATCTCCCTGGGAACCTCCTGACCTCTCCCTGCCCCTCGCCTGTTCCCCCCTGACCCGTCCCCCCCCCCCCGGTCCCTTCTGGGTTGCCCATCCCCATGACCTTCAACCTCCTTCCCCCTGCGCCCGAGGATTGTCTAAGGTGACAGGAGGGACAACCAAGCCAGGTGTGAGCATGTACACGCACACCTGAGCCCGCCAACTGCAGGCCGTGAGGCGCTGTCCTCCATCCTGTGCATGGTCACCCGGCTTGGCCTTGGAGCAGAGCCTGAGCGCTGACCCGGCGCTCACAGGTGGCTGCGTCGGATCCCCTCAGGCTATGGCTAGGCGAGGGCACTGTAGCTCAGAGGGAGCAGATGACTGCCAAGGTCAAGTCACCCATTGGCGGCAGACTTGGCGTCTCCAGAGGCCTGCCCACCTGATGGTACATGCTAGCAAGCCCCACCCCCCCCAGCCCAGGTTAGAGCTCTCTGGGGTTCTCTGCCCTCCAGCAGGAAGTGGAGGTCAGTGCTACAGTCTGGGAGACGTGAAGGACTCACCCTCCTGCCCTGCGGAGCCCGCAGCATTTTGTTCTGACAGGGCTGGGACGTGACCGGGCTCGTGGTCACAGAATACCAGAATTCTGCAGGCAGGAATGTTCTGGAGAGAGAGGGCTTTCCTTCTCCTCTCATTTTAAAGATAGGAAATCAGACCCAAAGAATGAATCACGGTCACATTCCCTAGGAAAACCAGCTCCTTAAGGCTTTCGGGAATCCATGGCGTGTGCCAAACCCATGGACGTTTATTTTTCACGTTAGAATTTTTTTAAAAAATGGTTTCCAATACATAGGAATTTCACATAAAATTCAAGATCCCCAGCATCTCTTGAAAAAGGATGACATGAGGGGACCATGGAACTCAGGGCCTAATTCCTACCAGGCATTAACCGGCCGTTGCTGTGGAGGGCTGCCCCAGATGCCACCACAGCTGGGCACATGTCCCCTGTTTCTTCCATCACACCAGGCTTCTACTTAGAGAACATTCAGGAAGAAGTCTAGATGGGCTCTTTCTCACTTAGGCTCCTCATAACGTAACGCTGAAGCAGTTATTCTTAGATTCTCTCATTTCCTTACTGTCACTTGATAAATTCCCCAGGTTTCTTTTCTGATAGCTGTTGTTTTATAAACAAAAAGAAATCTCTCTTCTTGGATTAACTCCTGCGTTTCATGGCCTCTTGGGCCACCACGTTTAAGCTATTAGGTGGGTGTTCCCCTTTTCCAACACCAGGCTTAAGTGGGACCCGAGTTGAGGTACTCGCCCGCTCCTTCCTCCGGGCCCAGTGGGGAGCCAAATAAACAGGGTCCTTCCCGAGCTCTCCTTGATCCTCGTATTACCAGTTACGTACATCACAAACCACAGTTGACGGAAAGTTTAGTCTGATGTCCAAGTCAAAGTCCGGCCCCGGCCAGAACTCAGCCTGTGGCTGTGGGCAGGCAAGTGCTCTGAGTCTTCCTTTCCCTCCACCTTCCTTTCTTCTTCTCTCCTCCCCCTTTGGACCGTTCACCGACATAGGCCTCTTGGCAGGTCTTCTCCTGACCAGTGTCCGGGCCCTCACAGACTTGGGCGACCCCAGGAAGGGCTCCATGAGGCCCAAGAGCACTTGCAGTGATGCACACGGGCTGGACACAACCTGTGAGTCTCCAACGACAGTCATAATGGCAGCCCTTTGGCAGGGAAGACAGTCTCCCCCATCCCCTCTTGATTGCCCTCAGAGTGTGGAGATGGTCTCTGGAACAGCGCACCTGGTGGTCTAGGTAGCCAGACTCTGAGTGCCTGCAGAGCCAGAGGAATGACTTTTCCCCGGGCACATTTTGGGGGGACATTATTAGAATGTCACATGACTGCCGATGAGTACTTACTTACTCAATTTTCTTTTTTTTTTTTAAGCATTTTAGTTATTTTTAGTTAAAGAAAAACAGACTTTTCCAAGGGTGACAAAGTGAACTGAAGGTCAGATGGAAGGAAGCAGGGTGTGTGGACTGTTCAAAGCTCTTGCTCCAAAATCTGGAGGCGAGGAAAGAAGGTCCTCCCAAGAATTCAAGGGTGACTGGCCAGCAGAGGGATGACTTTGATGACTTTGGGCACTGGATCAGTCTAAGTAGGCTCTAAGGTGATTTGCACCTGCTAGTTGGTTGACATGATTAATATTATCACTCTTAGGGGCTATTACATTAAGGAATGACGCAGGAAGCCAAGAGAGTGGCTTATTCAGTTGGATTCTGAATCACAATCAGGAAATAGTCTTTATCTGGTGCAACCATAATTTCATTTTTCTTGGAGCGAATTCGAAGGAAGGTGAGGTCATTCTGGGGGTCAATTTCACGCACGGTGCTCCGGGCCTTCAAGATGAAGTTGTGCGTGAGGTTGGCATACTGTGTGGTAGTGGGATTGTCCATGGTGCTCTTGATGGGAATGCCTTCTGTGTTCACCACGATGATGCCCTGTACTCCCTTCTGGCTCTGAAGTCGCTTCAGTGTCTCCTCCACCTCTGCCTCTAGGTCATGCCACTGTTCCTTTTTCCTTTTCCATTTTTCTTGTGGGCGTTACGTTTTTAAGTAAGAGCTTTGATTTCACATTTCAGGAGTCTCTTCAAGCTTTCATTTCCAACCGATCCCGTAGCTCCGCGACGCCGGTGCTCAGTCCTACTTACTCAATTTTCAAAACGTTGCCTCAAAACTGGAAGGATGGGTTGGGCCACCCCACTCACCCACCATCCCCCCTGGAAAGTAGTTCTAGCCACTGTGGTTTTGGCAAATCAGCTGTTGACCAGAACGTAATAACAGAGCTAACGCTCAGGGCTCATCGGTAAGCTCTGACCTCGTCCTGTGAGTCGTGGTTCAAGCCCTGACAATGTCTTTACTTGTTCGTAGAGGCGGATGACAGAGTTGTGAAGGCCCCCAAGGTCAGCGAGCCCAGGCCTCCCTCAGCCCCCCTGGGAGCCCGCGCCCTGCACACACCCTCCCCTGGATGAGCGTTGCTAGAGGGAGATCCTGTTCTCTGCAACACCCTTGTCGTGCGCCTGCCTCCTCCCAACACTTGCCCTTGTCCTGATGCGGAGGCAGCCCCGACGGCCGGTGGGAGAAGCCAGGAGTCAGCTGTGGTTTAGAAGGAGGCCGCGCACGGATTCGCAGGGCTCTCTGCTCCCTGCCTGCTACAACCCCAGTTGAAGGCTGGGGGCCAGTGCCCAGGTCCTCTCTGTCAGATTCCTAGAAGGGATAAGGTCTGCATCAGAATGGGACTCTTAACAGGAAAGGAGCAGAGCTCGCAGACCCTGGAGGGAATGGCGCCGCCAGGACTGGAACCACAGCCTGTGTGCCTGAACCCACTGCCCTTTCTCCTGCTCTGCACTTCAGCTCTTAGTCCAAAGGCATCTCTTGGGGGGGATGACAGCACCCTGCCTGGACACAATGGCCCCTGGCATCCGTCATGCACTCTGTACTTTCTCGAACCTGTCACACGTTACCTTGCTGGGTTCCCAGCAGCCCTGTTAAATGATGTAGGCGAAGATTGTGACACCCATTTGCTATGTGATAAAATCAAGGTTCAGGGGGGTTACAGGCCCAGCCCAACTTTGCATAGCAACCCCAGGGATGGGAGGTAACACATGTCTTACACTTGGTAAATGCCAGGCTCATCGTGCTTGTGTTCTCTCCTTGGAGATAGGCCCGTGTTAACCACCTGGGAGCCAACCCACTGATTTCCTCTTCCACAGATAAGAAAACTGGGGGAGCCTTTTCCCAAAGTCAGGGTCAAAGAGCCAAGGGAAGGAGCCAACACCAAGGCCTAGGCCCTCTGTCGTGGTCTCTCCAGCAGTGCTGAGATCTGAACTTGGGGTGCCAGCAGGGCTGCTTTCCTGAGGCCTCTCTCCTGGGCCTGTGCATGGCCGTCTCCTCTCCATCCTCACGTAGTCTTCCCTCTGGGCAGGCCTGTGCCTTCATCACCTCTTCCTAAAAGGACTGCAGGCATTTTGGATTAGGACCCACTCATAAGACCTCATTTTGTCTTCATTTTCTCCTTGAAGACCCTGTCTCCAAATACAGTCACATCCTGAGGTCCCGGGAGTCAAGACTTCACCACACAAATTCGGGACCTAATTCAGCCCGGACACACCCTGGTGGCCTGCATCTCTTCACTCAGTCAACCCTGTCTCTGGTAGACTTGCATGGACAGGGAGGGATCTCACCCCACAAAGCCCTGCTCAGGGCTGAGAGTCCCTGTTCCCCACACTGGGCCTACTGTTTTTGAAATTATCGGGAGCCCTGGTAGGAGCCCTGAGGTGGGGAGTGGAAATCTGGAAGATCAGCTGTCAGCCCCCGCCAGTTCTGTCAAGGACTTGGGCAGTCACGTCCACCCCCAGCCTCCCTAGCAGAGCTTCCCCAAGGAAGCCCGTGTCCCAACATCTTGCACCGGGGAAGGCTCTGGCTCCTTGGATGGGGCAGGAGCCCAACAGGCCCCTGGGGGGCAGGGACATTGGAGGCCGAGGCTCCGTGGCTTGAGCCAAAAACTTGAGAACGGAAAGAGGGATTCTCAGCACCCCTGAGGGCATTGGTTTGGAGGAGGTTTGGAGGACAGCAGCCTTCTCACGCACACGAGGGCAGGACTTCTCCTAAGTGCCGGGCACTGTCTACTCACCTGGTGTGCCCATCTGATTCTTCCTCAGATCCAGTACAGCCCCGAGAGGCAGGGATTCCCATCCCCATTGCACAGACATGGACATGGAAGCTCTGAGAAGGACGGTGCCTTCTCCAAGGCCAGACGGTATTCCAATGGCTCCAATAAGGAAAATGTTAGTGCTCCAGGGATGTCCAAAGCTGTCCAATCATAAGAAGCATTGAGGGCACTCGTTTATAAAAGGATACAGATTCCCAGGCACTTTGCTGCAGATTCTAATTCAGGGAGTCTCAAGTCAGGCTCAGGGAGAAAATTAAGACCAAATGAGGTCTTATGAGTGGGTTGGGGACCCTGTAGTTATAGCAAGGACACCAGGTGATTCTCACTCTTGTGAGTTTGGGAATGTGTGGGTTGAAGAGCATGACTGTTCCTCACGTCCCCAAGCAGGAGTGACGGCCACCTCCTGGAAGACCCCAGCCCAGGTTGCATTGTCCCCTCCTGCTCGTCACCTGCTGATGGCCCTGCCATCAACTGAGTGAGGTCTCTGTCCCTCACACTGTCTTTGCATCCACGTCCCAGCCGCCCTGCTGAGACTCTGAGTGCAGTGGGGGCTGCTGGGGAGGGGTGGGCGACGGACGCCTCCTGCCTCCCCGCAAGGACCTCCCCTTTTTGCTAGGCCACCCCCCACCCCATCGCCATCCCACCTGCATTTCTGACTTCCCTTCCGGGACAGGGCAGGTGAGTGATTGTGTTAAGGGCCGATCCCTTGTGTGTTTTTTTGTACAAGGTCAGCTTCTAGCAATTTCTTTTTTTCCAAACACCCGGAACTGCTCTTGTCCATGGACCTATGTGACCACAAGAAGCACAATGTGTCCCAGGAAAGGAAAGCAAATGGACGCCAGGTGCTCTGCAGAGCTCTGCTGGGCGTGCAAGGTAGTGGACGCCCCTTCACAGACCCCCTTGCGGCCCTCAGAGTTGGGCTGCACGTTAATTAGAAATCCAGAGGCCTGGAACAATGAAAATTACTTTGTGTTTCAATTTACTTTGTTCTCATTTTTTGACAGGGTCAAAGGTCACCTTCCCAGTTTGAATCTGAAAGCAAATTATAGCTGTGTCATTTTTATATTGATGCACGCAGGCGAGAGATCCCTGGCAAGCACGTCAGCCAGAGCCCCGGTGCGGCTGGTGTCGGTTTCTGAGCGCGTTGGCCAAAGCTGGGCCGCGGCCTTACGGTGGGCCGAGGTGGGCCGAGGACGGCGCGAAGCCCGGGCGGGCGGGAACGGTGAGCGGCAGGGCGCGGGGGAGGCGGGGCTCACAGGAGGTGCCCCCCCAGGGGCACCTCCCCGTGAGCCAGCCGTCGGGGACCCCGACACCGAGACTAAGGAGCCAAGGAAACCGTTCACTATGGCGATCGCTGCCCCACGAGGGCTGTCAGAACTGGGATTCGAACCCAGGCCTGCCTGACTCAAGGACCCGGAGCGTGACCTCAACCTCGTGTCATGGCAGCTGACAGTGACTGAAGGGGCTGCTCTAAGCACAGGTCTCCCGAGTGTCTCGTGTGCTCCCAGTAGCTGCAGAACTGTTTTCTGGAATCCGAAGCCTTCCTTGGGGCCTGGCCTGTGCCTGCAGCCTGTGCTCGGGCTCCCAGGGGGCTCCCGGGCGCCCCCCTCAGCCCGCGGCCCCAGAGGGCTCGCGGTCCACAGTCGGAAGCGTCTCCCCGACGGCTGTCGGTCCCGAGAGCAGGGATTCCAAAGCAGAATATGAACAAAAGTTGGGAAATGGCCCCGTGTTCGAATATTTCTCAAATACAGAATTGCCCTTTCCCAGTAGCAGGTAGGAGATGTCAGTGTGTCAATAAGCCGCGGGGCCGGCAGTTTTAAAATATTAATGATTTCTAGAATTGAAAATGCAAATAGCTGTCCGGAGCTCGTCCACTTGGCATTAAAGAGAAGGGCTCTGACGGGACACCGTGGGGATCGGCATCGGAGACTCGGGCCTTCCCAGGACACGGGACACGAGCGGACGTTTGCCAGCCGGTCACTGCGGCGTCAGCGCCCTTGAAGCCCAGCCCGCCTGGCTCGCCTTCTTCCCGGGACTCGGGTTAGGCTGGGCGCCAGAGGGCGAGGCCTCGAGGCCCAGCGAAGGGTGGCCGGTCCCGCTCACCGGCCCCCGTGCAGAGCAGCCCCGTGCCCACCTCCGATGACCCGGCCCAGGGAGGGGGCGAGGACAGACGGGAGCCCCGGCCCTGCGCTCGGCCCGCAGCGGGGCGGTGATCGTGGCGGCCCCGAGCTCGGCGAGAGAGGGCGCTGGCCTGGGGCGCCCGCGTGTCTGTCCGGGGCCGCCTCTCGGGTCCAGCGCCTGCGCCCCCCTCTCTCGAACCCTCCGGGTTGCTGGACTGTCCTCCTCTCAGCCCCCAGGCCTCCCTGACGAACGTGCTTTCCCTTTCGTCACGTCACCTGCTACTAGATGTGAAGTTTCTGGGGAGCAGCCCGTGACCGCACGGTCTCGCCACCCCGGAGGCTCTGTGCTCATGCGGGTTAGGCACGGCCGTGTGAGCCCAAGGGACTGGGGCGCTCCTGACGGCCGGCAGACCCCAGGCTGTGGAGCCGGTTTGGTCCCCGGGGGCCGGGCCTCCTCAGCAGCTGGGGCGAGGGGCAAGCGCCCTGGGGGGGCTGGGTACCATCCGCAGGGCGGCGGGGGCACAGGGGTGCGGCCAGAGGGCAGGGTCCAAGGGAGGGGCAAGGGCGGGCCCCAGGGATGCAGCCCAGGTGCAGACACCCCCAGGGTAGTCAGCCCCTGTCTAGTCACCCCCCAGTGTGATCACCCCCCAGTGTAGTCACCCCCAGTGTGATCACCCCCAAGTGTAGTCACCCCCAGTGTGATCACCCCCCAGTGTAGTCACCTGCACCGTGAGGTCACCACCACCGTGAGATCACCCCCACTGTGAGGTCACCGGCGCGCTGTGAGGTCACCCCCGGCATGAGGTCACCCACACTGTGAGGTCACCCCCGCCGTGAGGTCACCCCTGCTGTGATGTCACCTGCACCATGAGGTCACCCCCACTGTGAGATCACCCCCACTGTGAGGTCACCCACACTGTGAGGTCACTTGCACTGTGAAGTCACCCCCGCCGTGAGGTCACCCGCACCGTGAGGTCACCCCCGCTGTGAGGTCAGCCCGCCATGAGGTCACCCCCGCGTGGCCCTGGCTGTAGGGAGCAGCCTCACGTGTCAGGGCTGTCAGGTTGCCCTCCCCCTGGACGGAGGCAGGGAGAGCCAGGCCTGCCACAGCCCTGTCAGAGCTCCGGAGGTGCATCAGGCCGCTGCCCGCTGCCACCCTGCTTCCCCGGGATGTGGTCAGTGTCAGGCAGTCAGCAGCCTCGGCCTCGGGGTCCCGGTCCCCCTCGCTCTGTGCTGGAGGACTAGCTCTCACAAGACAAGCCTCTTCATCCCGGAAATTGCGGGTGATCTCCCTGCCACCCCGGTGTCCGAGCACCTGAACCGGGTCACTCGTCGGCACTCACTTTATTGAACAGACGCATATTGATACGATTCACTGGGTGCCAGACCCCGTACTAAGTGCTCCCCGAGTGCCCTCAGACTCCACAGGACCTTTCATGTGAGGACTCCGGGTCTGGACTCAGGTCGTTCCCAACCTTCTGCTCTTGTGTGAACTGGCTGCGTGGGGTCCTGAGGACAGGAAGCTCTGGAGAGTGAGGCACTGAGCCGCCGGGGGCAAAGCCTGGGCTCCTGGACTCAGAGCGAGCTGGGCGCCCCTGTGGGGCCTGCGGCCTGGGGATCAGACACCTGTCCCCCAGGAGGTTGCGGGGAAGGAATGGGACTGCACGCAGCGTGGCCCCTGGGCCTGCCCAGAGCAGGTGCTGGAGTCCGGTGACTTCCCTGTGTCCCTCCCAGCATCCCAGGAACCTGCTCCTGGGTCCTGTGTGTGTCTGTTTGGGCCCTCGAGCCCCAGCTGCGAATGTATTGATCTTCCTCCTTCGTCCTTGGAAAAAGGCCTTTTCTCCTTCTCAGACATGTGGCCTCCGTTTCTGCCATAAATCCAATCTGTTTGCCCTAAGCTTTGGAGGTCCCCAGGGACACCGCACGCCCCTCTATCCCAGGACGGGCCTGCGTCTGTGAGAAATTATCTGCTTGATGTACGCGTGTCTCCTGTCCCCTCGCTCCCTGCCCTCTCCTCGCTATGACCAATATAGTCTGATCAGGGCCATGCCAAGCCACCTCTTGGGGCCTCCAGGCCTCCCGGATCGCAGCGCCTTAGAACTGGGGGGCTGCAAGACCATCTGAGAGACCCGTGGTGTAGCACGAGAGACCAGGGGCCGGAGGGCCTGGCCCGCGGGATCTCACACTGGACCCGCGCTCCTCGCTTGCAACGGCACCTAAGCAGGATGATTTGGGGGTGTGGGAGTTGGGCCTGGGCAGTTCTCAAAAGCTCCCTGGGTGGATCGAATACGCAGCCAGGGCTGAGAGGCAGAGAATAAGGTGTGTTTCTTGCCTGTGTGCCTGGAGACAAGCAGCGGGTGGCTGTCCACAGGGGCTCGTCACAGGGGCCCCAAGACCGGCCTTTCCCTCTGCAGCCCCGGAGCACCTGAACCGGGTCACTCGTCGGCACTCACTTTATTGAACAGACGCATATTGATATGATTCACTGGGTGCCAGACCCCGTACTAAGTGCTTTCCGAGTGCCCAGCTCATTTACCCCTCAGGGTGCAACAAGATAGCCCACCGTCATCCCCGTTTGATAGCTGAGAGGGCTGGAGGAGGCACAGGTGGGGGAAGCGGCTTGCCCAGGGTCACATGCCCAGATGGCGGTGGGGTCACCATGCTGCGACCTCCTCCAGCGCTCAGCACCTGAGGCCCGTGCCTTCCCAGGTGCGCGGGGCAGCCCCACGGTGGGGCCGCAGCTTCTGAAACCCACAATGCCAGAGGCCATCTTGGGGGGCCCCTGTGGTTTCCATCCCTCTCCTCGCTGGGCCTTTGAGGCGAGGGCACTTCCGCAGCTTCCCCGTGTCACTCAGCTGCAAACCCAGCTCAGCCGGGCTCCAGTCCAGGTGCCCCAGGGATCTTCGGAGGCCGCGTTTCTGTCCAGGGTCCAGGTTTATCCTAGAAGCCTTAGCCTGGGAGTCGCCACTCTGTAAACACACCCCCTGGAAATATGTTCTTGTAACTAAAGTTTTGACACTGTTTTATTCAGGACTGACTCCATTCAGTCCAAGCCACGAAGCCATGAAGACAGTGGGGCAAGATCATTTCCTAACTCAGGTTAGCACAGGTTTATTTTGTAGCAGCTGCAAAAATACCAATTATGGAAATAGAGGCAGAGAGTGAGCTCCGCGCTTGCGCCCCGTGCTGCGGAGGTTCACCGTCCCCCCGGCCGGCCGGGGCCACCAAGAGGCCCTGCTGCTCCAGCGGGCTGCCCGGCTAAAGGCATGTTGGCAACCCGCCTGGTTGGGCACTAAAGCTTCTTTTATCGAGAACTTGGCCGATCCAGTTTTCAAGTAGCGTGCCGAGGACTTGGGCAGTTAGAGCGTCAGCTGAGCTCTGTCAGCGGCTGTCCCTTCTGTTGCGTGTGTGCACAAGTCCAGCGGTGACGCTGTGGCCCAGAAGCCCGTGCAGAGCGTGGGGAGGTCGTGTGAGAACGGATCCCATGGTTCTGATCTAACCTGTGAAAATCCAGTTGACTGTGAGACCTTGATCAAGTCACTGTCTCTCAGTGTCTTGGCTGCAACATGGGGGAGGTTAACTAGGCCATACTCCGCTCTAGCCATCTCTGTTCTGTGGCCTGCGTGGGGCGTCAGGCCCCATCCTGAACTTCCCTGATCCTTAGGGTGGTGGAAACATCCTCACTGGAACAGAAAGGAATTACCACAGGGAGAGCTGGTGTTCAGTGCCGTGGGTTGCTTGCTAAGCCACGTAGGATGGTGTATGTTTTTAAATCCATGATCAGGGGCCGCTCCGTGCCAGGTGGTGGCTTCCTTGCAGAGTTCATATCGCTTTGACACAGTCCTTTTGTTTCAGCCACACTGATGCAGCTGCTCTGACACAATGTTTTTGGTATGGGGACAATCTGACACAGCCCAGGAAACAAACCATTAACACTTTCAGCCTTTTTTTTTTTAAGATTTTATTTATTTATTCATGAGAGACACAGAGAGAGAGAGAGAGAGAGAGAGAGAGAGAGAGACAGGCAGAGGGAGAAGCAGGCTCCATGCAGGGAGCCCGATACGGAACTCGATCCCGGGTCTCCAGGATCACACCCTGGGCCAAAGGCAGGGGCTAAACCGCTGAGCCACCCAGAGATCCCACCTTCAGCCTTTTTAAAAAACAATGCCGAATAAGGTGCCAAGGAGACGTTCCAGGCTGCCTCCCCTCGCCCCCCGAACGTCCCTCTCCCTGGTGAGACTTCTGGTGAGGGGGGTTAGGGACGGGGTGGGGGGAGAGATGGGCTCGGGTGGGCCCCGAGGGGAACGGGGCCACTAAGGAACCACTAGGAGCACAGGACAGAGTGGGTCAGACTGCACGGGCTGGGGGCCGCTCCCCACGATACCTGCTAATTTCGGGAGCATTTTATATTTAGATGCAGTCATTTCACAACTTTTTGCATTAAAATAACCATGTCCACATGCCCTTCTCTGTGTCAGGCACACAAACGAATGCCAGGGGGAGTTGAACAGGACAAGGCTTCTGCCCCCCAGCTCAGCCACCAGGGAGGACAGGCGGGGACAGGAAGCAAAGGAACGTCCTACCATGCAGGTGGGCCATCGCTGGAACAGGGCAGGGGCGAGGAGGGGAAGGAGCAGAGGGCGTCCCCCGACCCCACTGCCTGGCGGGGCCGAGGGCTCCCCAGGGCCAGGGGGTGATAGGGAGCCTGAGCAACACTTGCTGAATGTCCAAGAATAGCAAACGTTGAGGTGAGGCCTTATCACGTGACAAGGACTATTCCTGGTGCTTTGTTTTAACTCCTCCAGGCCTCACAGCTACCCAGAAATACGGTGATGATGGTGTGATTCCCCTGTTTGGGTGAGGAGACCGAGGCACCCAGCTGGGACCTGGCCTTCCCAGGACCACACAGCCTTCCCTAAGGGCCCCCCCGCTCTGGGAGAGGTGGAGAAGCCCCACAGCCCTAATGTGCATCCCCCAGGGATCCGGCCTGTCCTCACCAGTCCCCGGCTGTTTGACCTCAGATAATCAGTGGACCTCGGCCACATCTCCAGTCCTATTCTGAAGGCCCTCCCCTTCCCCAGCGTGCACCCCTCCATCCCTGTCAGCTGTATCTGTCACGCAGTCCGCACATGTGTCTGCCGGGTGCCACCTTAGACCCGGGCCCACAGCCCTTAGTAAGACCAAGCTCCTGTGGTCATGGGGCTACTGTGCACGTGGGAAGCAGAGACCTATGTGGTGAGGAGCCAGCCCCGTAGAGGCCAGGGGAGCCCCCCAGATGGGGCAGAGAAGTTGGAAAGAACCCCCATGGGACGGAGTGGGTGGGCAGGTGAGGGAGGGGTGAGAAGGGGGGTGGGGGTAGGCAGGGGACAAGCAGGCCGGAGTCAGCAGCTTGGGTTCGCTTCTAGTGGACGGGAGCTGCTCTAGGACCAGACCTGAAGCAGGAGAGTGGGGTCCCTGCCCCTGAGAAGGGATCACAGGCCCCAGGAGAGGATGGGAGGGGGCGCTGCTGTTCAGATGATACAGATGGGGGACTGAGCTTGAGTGGTGGCAATAGCCCTCTCCTCCCCGTGACAGCCCAAGTGCTTCCTACACTGTGGGGGCGCAGGCTCGTGGGAGTTCATCTGTCATGATTGCCCTCATCTCCCCCTCATCACCCACCCTTCCTTGCCTCCCTTGGCTGTTGTCACTCTGCAGTGTGTGTAACCACGTCATGGGTGAGCCATGGGTGAGTTTGTTTTCTCAGAGTCCAGAACAATCCAGCGTCCCTGGCTCATCTGAAGATGTGTTGAGAGAGAGAGGGAGAGAGAGAGAGAAAAAAAATCACACTCTTTAATAGAAATACTTTTCCTTCATTAAATGAAATCTCCAAAGCCCAGTAGCATTTTCGGTGCTTATATAAAGATGCCAGTGGGGATTTGAGATTGAGAGTGGTATTTTTATACAAGTCAATGAAGATCTCAATAGGAAAGAAAGAACACTCTTCAAATCTGAATTCCTCCAGCATTGGGCAAGATGGATCTTCAGCTCTGGGCATGGATCACATTACTCCCTGCCCTACCAGGAAACTCTTTTCCTGAAGCTACTTTGAGCACTCATAAATAGTGGTTCTCTGTTTGAGGCAATTGTATTAATAGTGTCTTTCCAAGCCTGCAAACCATTCACCTTGAATTTCTCTTTGTACGTCAATTCTGATGACTTTGTACAGAAACTCAGGAGTTAGTAGGAGTTTAAGCCAGAAGCAGACGTGTGTATGGGCCTGCAGTCCTGTACACCCACAGTAGCGTCTTTCATCGGGTGTAACTCAGGAATGAGGCTTCCTTTGGGGGGTGTCAGAAGAAAGACCGGTCTCAGGGGATAGAAGCAGATAGAAATTCCACCTGTGACTCTTGCTTGTTGGGTGGCCCTGGGCAAGGCACTTCACCTCAGATGTCTTGTCTGTGGTAGGAGGAAAATGAGACAGTTCTCCCCAGGTCCAGCGAGACCTGGATCATACTGTGTGAAAAGTACCTGGCACACAGAAACCGCTCAAAACCCATTCCTTTTTAACCACTTCTCACCTGACTATTGTTTAAAAATCTGCTAGAATCATCAATTTCATAGCAATTATTCTGGCTATCTCCTGCTAAGTAACACCCACCGCCACACACATCCGGTGCTTACAATGACCACGGTCTTGCATTTTGCAGACTACCTGCAGTCCCTGGGCTCCTTTTTGCTCCGTGCTATACGGGCCTTCAGCTGAGCTAACAGTTCAACTTTTTTCTTTCATTCCATATCTGGGAATATCCAACAGCTAATTCTACAGACGGAAAAACAGAGATGAGAGTGGGCCTAGGAAGGGGACCGTTTGGAACTATGTAGCAAGCTAAGGAAATCTCTTTTCTATTTTTTTTAAATTTTTAAAAGATTTGTATCTATTTATTCATGAGAGACACAGAGAGGCAGAGACACAGGCAGAGGGAGAAGCAGGCTTCCTGCAGGGAGCCCGGTGCGGGATTCGAACCCAGGACCCCAGGATCACAACCTGAGCCGAAGGCAGACGCCCAACTGCTGAGCCACCCAGGCGTCCCAGGAAATCTCTATTCTGAGCACCACCACCGTGTCAGGTCCTGTGAGGGGAGAAAACACTGGAAGGCACCAACTCCTGAGTTGCTGAGAGCGCCAGGCGGAGATGGGAGGGCTGGAGGGAGCGAATCTGTGGGCTCCTCAGGACATAGCCTGTGCGTTCGGGAGTGCCCCCCCGCCCCCCCTTCCTGCCCCTTCAGCTCCTTCCTCTGGGCACGGGATTGTCCCCGCAGTGGCTTCTTCTGGCAGCCAGCAGGTGCTCCCGCCACCTTCCGCAGCCAGCCGGGGAGCTGAACTCTCGCCTTCGCGCTGGAAAAATCCATTACCGACAAGTCATTTGTCAAAGCCAACTGTTTAGCTGCTTTAATTTACATATTTATCAAGTTTGATTAGAATGTATTGTCTTCGACTTTCATCCCAGCTTTCACCTCTTCTCGCCCTCTTTTCCTGGGGAAACTGTTTTTGTTGTCCTTGCTGCAAAAGGGCACCACGTAATTCAATTTG